TGAATTGATACATATTTATCTATATGTCTTCTGGTCATATTATAACATTTGTTTATAATTTTATCATATTGATCATAAGGCTATTACCAATTCTTCTATTATGATTTAATAGTAAAGCCCTAAGATTATTGTCTTTTTAGTTATTAGTTCCACTAGATACAATGTAATCATATTTTTTATCACTCTTATAGATATATTTCTTGCTTTTACTAGCACACTATCAATTTTTTTAACCTTTTGGTCATCCGGACCATAACAAAATTTTTAAAACTACGAAGTTATTTTGTATCGTTTAATTTTTAAACTATCAATTTTTAGGACTTTGATATAGATTATCAAATTTTGACAATCTTGCCATATCATCTGTTACAACCATAAGATAGTCTTTTATCAAAGAATCATTAAAAAATGATATGGCTTATGGCTATCTAATGACAAAATCAAGAGTATAATGACTATTAGCCATTCATTTATATGTTTAACATTTTACTTTCTAAGACAACAATTAACTAATATCGGATATGATAATCATATATAGTAATATTATAGATGAACATAAATCTCATATCAAATCAAGAAGTATAAGGATAATAGAATTATGAAAACATAGGAAAAGTAAGAAATAAAAATAAAAATAAAAATTTTCATATCTCAATATGATGAATAAAATACTTAGTTACCAATGACTTAACAAGGTTAATATGTAAAACCATTATTTTCTCTAAATAAATTGAAGAAATCTTACCAAACTGCTCGGATTAAACTATTATCATTCAACAAACAAAACACCAACATGTATCAACTAAAAACCATAAACTCAAATGGTAAAGTCTCCGGTTGATAATGTGAACAAATAAAGTATATTGGAAAAGAGATGTAGATAATATAATGAGATAATGATATTGTATTCCTTTGACCACTTTCTTTATTTACCTTACAATATAATGGCACGTCCTATTTATAGATATAGTCTTATACATATGTTACACTTATACTTAAATGATAGATAATGGATAATAAACTACATGAATGTGAGTGGGGATTAAATTACAAGATTAAAGACATAGTGGAGAAGTAATGGAGTAGTGAAAGATTAATGCTTAGTAGAAGTGGTGGGAGTTGATGAAGTTGAAGAGGAAGAGGAAATAGACATCCAGATTTGATAATATTCATAACATAAATAACACATTTAATTATAGTCTCACCCGTCAATCGTGAAAATGGATCCAAAAGGTACTGAAGTTTTTCCTACCAGACAAATGGAGCGGAAGATGAAACGTCGTTTTTGTTTGACTTTAAATGTTTCTGGAAGTTGTTTTGAAAAATTAAAAAAAAAATCATTAAAAATCCTGTGAAAATTTTTTATTGTATTCATATTGTGTTTGGGATTCAATAATGTAGGTCTAAACCATATGTTTAAAAATTCAATTATGAGACCATCAACCTAACACACATATTAAGGAGTGCTTGGATATATTTCTAAGAAAACCATAGCTTTAGCTTTTCTAATACTCCTGGAGGGAAGAAAAGAACTTTTCTAATTTTGTTTCTTAATTATACTGAAAATCTTATAAATTAATTTTATAAATCTATTACGACCACCTATTCGAAAAATTATAAGCATAAATCAATTTTATTCAAAGTGTGTTTCTCACCTAATCCAAACACATCATGGGATTCCCCTGATAAAAATGGTAGTGCCAGCTACTTGTTCGCCCTTTTAGTTTGACATTATATTGAATGTTGATTATCTTCCGCAATTATATTCTTGAAGACAACGTAAAGGGTATGTGTTTTTATTTGGAATTGACGTAACTATGAGAGATACACGCATCGGATGTGGAAGAATGCAATGCCTTTTGAGTGGGAAATCAAAAGCAAAAGAGAATAATATATTATTAGAATATTTGTTTCTAATAATATACTATTAGAATAACATTGCAGTCTTTTCATTTCTCCTGGCTATATGAGAGATCTATCTCTCCTTTTTGGGCGGCGTGTCTTTTCACTCCTTCTTTTAACTTGTCTGTACGTATCATTTGTTAATGTGAGTAGAATAGAGTTGACGTGGAAAATATCACATCGATAAAACTAGGTTTAATAATAGATATATTTATGTAAAGTAGAAAGACCCTTAAATTTAAGTTATAAGGTTTTGAGTTAAAATATAATGTCATTCACTCTTTCTTTTCCATTTGTTCTCCCTCCATTATTGAGCTTCGCTCTCTGTTCCCAACATTATTCGTAAAAAAATTAGCTTTTAGTCATGAATAATCTCTGAGCCTCTCATTGTGCCTGTCATTCCAGCATCTATTAAAGCAGTTGGGTTGTTTCTTTATGCCTTAAATCAGGAGTGAAAGCATCTTTTACGTACAGTGAATTTTAACTTTGATACATTCAATAATTGAAAGGATCGGATACAAATTGAAGGACATCCTCGGAGTTTCGGTGATGATCTCCGTTGATGAGCACTATGATATTTATCACATAATAAAATTTACACTATTTAGATATAATTTTAATGGTTTAAATTTAAAATATTTAACTGATATTTTTAAATAAAAATTATTTTTTTAAAAAATTACAGTTAATAGATCATATTTATTTGGATGATGTGCCTATTAAAAAAAGTTTTAAAGAAACAAATATATAAAAATTAAATTTCAAATGCTCATATTAAATTTAAACAGTTTAAATTTGATGAGCATTAAAGTGCTCTTCATTATGATGAATGGGTGCTCTTCACTACAATGAATATCAAAATTGGTTCCGATGCGCAGGATGTGCAAACTAACATTAAACCATTTGATAATATTTATTAGTATTATTGCAATCAGAATTTAAGCACTGTGCTTTTGTCAGAAAAATTTTTGCATGCTTCTAAACTATCAAGTCATTTGTATTCTATCCAATAAGAATGCTCTAACTAAAGATCAGGGGCACTTGAACGGTGCTTCCTTCCTCAATACTTAAAGAAACGCCGTCCATGAAGTGGGGAGATAGTCTGAGACCAAACGAAGAGAGAGGTGAGAGGGTCTAAGAAAGTATAAAGAAAGGAGCACCAAAAGAAATTACAAAATTCTTTGAATAAAATTAAAAATAATATGAGTTGGAGCATTCTTACTGGGCAGAGTACAAATGAGTTGACACTCTAGCAGCATGCAAGAATTACTCCCTTAATGAATCTGAAATAAGGTCATGATTTGGTGAATGCTTTGCTGATGAGCAACATTTCCCTAAGTTATGGCTCAGCTTTCACGATTAACACTTATTACTTTTGGTTTTTAATATAAGACCTGGATAATTAACTTAAAAAGATTTAAAAAGTTATTAAATTATTTAATTATAGTATATATTATATTATCTTTTTTAAAATATTTATGTATATTATTAGATTATATTGATTTATAAATGAGGCAAATTAGTTTGAAAAAACCAATAAATATAAATACTTTAAATTAAGGGTTAATTCAAATTTTAGTCTCTTAAATTTGCTTTTATTTTGGTTTTGATCCCTCAAATTTTAGATCATAGATTTTGGTTCCTTAAATTTCTTTTTATTTATAATATTTGTCCCTATAATCCAATAAAAATTTGAATCATTTAACCTTTTGAGAAACTAAAACTTATGATTTGAAACTTGAGAAATCAAAACAAAAATGAGCTAAAATTTGAAGGACCAAATATTATATTAACCATTAAATTAATTTAATAATTTTCTTAATCTCCTCAAATTATTTAACTGGGTCTCTGACCGGAGGTAGTGTCACGTAGCAAGCAGCTTACACTGGTTAATTATATCCCAGCCATAGAGATTAAACAACTTAAGAATTGCAATAACAGAAAGAGGATTTACTTTCCTATAATCACATAATGTATATAACCTATATATATATATATATAAATAGAAAACTCTCATTAAACACTTGATTTTGTCGGTTATGTGATTTCGTGCGTACAATTCAAAATGCCCTTTCTTTAGAAGTTATGGATCTCATGTACATATTATTCTTCAAATATTTATCTGTACCTTACATATATCCACAGTCATCAAGCTTACCATAGCCACCTTGATTCTTTAACTTGTACTTACTGTAAGTATCAATATTAGGTATCCGTGTAAAAAATGAAATGAAATAATAAAAATTTCAACCTATATTTTTATATGGATTTGTGAGAATAAATCCCATTTTAGAGAGCTGAGATAGAATTAAATAAAAATAAAAAGAATGAGATAGAGTCCAGCGGAAAATATAGCATGGAGGCCTGCAGTGGGTCAAACCCTTCAAGGGCATCAAAAATAATAGGTTTCGACAATCATATGCGACAAACAATACAGTTTTCATTGGCAATCAATAATTAATATTTATCGATAATTTTGAGTTCAATTCAAATCCTATATATGGCAGAACTAACAAGGACAAATTAAAAAAAGGGTGATCAGTAACATTTAAATAGCATAATTTAATTCGAATTAGATGTGAGAAATTATGTTATGAAGTGCTCCACACCAAGGTGCCGAGTCTATTCTAACACAAAATACATAATCATCTATCATTGACTCTGACTTACAAAAAAAAACAAGAAGAAGAAGAGAGAAATCTATAATTCACTGAATAAATTATGATTTAAGAATATAATATTTATTGACTCTGAAGAATGCAAATTTTTGATGACTTATTTAATTTCAAAACAAAATTTTCCAGGAACAATAGAAGTCAAACAAAAACCACGCTTCATCTGCACCATTTGTCAGGCCCAAAAAAAAAAACGAAAACTTCATTTGCTATTTGATCATTTTTACATAGAAAATTATTTATGATAAATATTAGAAACACTTACATTAACACATACACGTGTATTAGTCTTTTAGGAATTCTACCTCTCACACTAGGCATCTTGCTCCGCCTCAGGTTATTGAATCCTTCAAAATAAGCGAAAATAAAAACAAAGACAAACTAGAAAAAGACCAGAAAAGAGAAAAGGATCCATCGTCTGTACCATTATTTTTTGCTTCAACAATTGCTTCAAGAAAGGATACGTAAAAGTCAAACAAAAACAAGGCATAATGACATCCTCTGCACCCTTCGGATATCACAACAACCCAATATTGAAATTGATGGACTTGCACCTTCCAACAAATTTCCTTTCATCTCGAACGATCAAAACCTCAGAACATAGCTTCCCCACTACGATTAGTGCAGCCATATGGCGATTCAGGTGGTCGCATCATCATCATCATCATCTTCATCATCACCCCCTAGCTTCACCAACGGAACAAAGTATAGATATGATGTTTTTCTGAGTTTCAGAGGCGAAGATACTCGCCAAACCTTCACTGTGCCTCTCTACGATGCTTTGCGATGCAACGGAATCAACGCCTTCATTGATGACAAGAAGCTTGGGAAAGGGGAAGAGATCTCACCTACGCTTCTTAAAGCCATTGAGAGATCAAGGATTTCCATTATTGTCTTCTCTAGGAACTATGCTACTTCCACATGGTGCTTAGAGGAACTCGCCCACATCGTTTGGTGCAAGAAGGAGAAGAACCAGTTGGTTATGCCCATCTTTTATAAGGTGAATCCGTTGGATGTTCAGTATCAAAGAAATAGCTTTGAGGAAGCCATGGCTGATCTTGAACATAGGTTCCATGGTAACTTGAAGAAAGTGCAAAAATGGAGGTCCGCTTTGTCTGAAGCTGCAAGCTTATCATCAACATGGCTTTTCGATGATGGGTAAGTGCTTTCTGCTGATATGATTTTCAAATAATCTCGGGTTAATATAATTTTTGTTCCCTCAAGTTTGTCTCCTTTTTTGTTTTGATTTCTCAAATTTCAAACCATCAGTTTTGATCTCAAATTTACTTTCATTTAAAATATTGATCCCATAATATAACAAAGATTGGGACCATTTTGCTTTTAGAGGGACCAAAATCTATAGTTTGACATTTGAGGAACTAAAACCAAAATGAGGATAAATTTGAGGGACTTAAGATTATATTAATTCCCATAATCTATTAGTGATTGCTCATGATATTGAACATAGTTTTGTTCTTGCAATTGGAAGGTGAATCTCTACAAGCCTGGGATATTAAAAATTGTTTTCATTTCGAAATCTATTCTCTTTTTTTTTTTGAGTCTTTTAAGTAAATTTAAAATTTGTTTTTTAACATAAGTATTTTTAATTTCATTTTCAACTTCAATACTTGAAATCATATAAGTAATATTTTAGTTATTAAGTGCTATTATGATTATTATTGGATTGGTGTAATTCCAAAGGCTAAATAATTTCTTTTCTGCATCAACACTGAGCATGTGAAATTTTTTAGAAGTTGAGTAGCAGATATGTTACTAAGCAGACAATCAATTATTCAAATGATATTGATAGTTGTACTGTTTTCTTTTAAAAGCTTATGAATCCAATTCCTATTCTACTTTGGAATGCAATACTATATTGGACGTTGATATATGAATACAAGTGACCTAGACTTTTGAACAAGTAAGATATGTCTTCTTGTATGCATATTTTACTTAATTTAATTTCAAATATATACCAATTATACTTTTCATGTTTTGTGCATACGTTATCGTAGCCTGGTATAAATTTTATGTTCGATGTATAAAATGATTTTTATGACTACCGTATTTAAAAATTTCTTTTTGTTTAACATTTTTTTATTTTGCATATACCTTCCTTTTATCCTATTCTTTTAAATTTTACTTAAATTTTACTATTTGATCCGCAAATATTTCATAGCTAGGTTTGTGAGTTGAAGTAAAAAAGAATAAACATTTGCACAGAGAGGATGAAAAATTTGAGAGCTTACTGATTTTAAGGCTATCAATTAAGAATCACAATAATATTTTATTGAAAAATATGCGATAAACGACAAAAAAAAAAAGAAACGTAAAAGAAGACATATAGCACGAATTATATCATCTCATGAAACTAAAACCATAACTTTTGCTTCTTTAGAAACCAAGTCAAGTTCATTGAAGGAATTGCCAAATATGCATATGCTATGCTGCCTCCTAAACGCTTTCATAACACTGATCATATGGTTGGACTTGAGCCTCGCGTAGAGGAGGCGATGTCACTTTTGAATCAATCTAATGATGCTGTTTGTATGTTGGGAATCCATGGAACTGGTGGAGTTGGCAAAACAACCCTTGCAAAAGCTATTTATAATTCAATCTTCCACCAATTTGAAGGTTCATGTTTTCTGTTTGATGTGAAAGGAGTATCAAAGAAATACAAGGGCATTGTTCGCCTTCAACAAACATTTTTATCAGAGATTCTTGAGGAGAAGAGGATGAAGTTTGCTAGTGTTGATGAAGGAATATCAAAAATAAAACATAGACTCTCTCATAAAAAGGTTTTCTTGGTTCTTGATGACATTGATGAGGTTGAACAGTTAGAACAGCTTGCAGGGGGATGTGATTGGTTTGGTCGCGGAAGCAAGATCGTTATAACAACAAGAAATAAGCAAGTGCTAATTGCATGTAATGTTAAGAAAACATATGAAATGAAGAAGCTAAATCAGCTTTACTCTCTTGAACTCTTCTGTTGGTATGCGTTTTGTACAAGCCAACCTCCAAAAGATTATAAAAATATGTCCATTCATGTGATAAGGCATGTACATGGCCTTCCTCTCGCTTTAAAATTAATCGGCTCCAATTTGGCACATAAAAGCATTGAGGAATGGAGATCTATATTGAAGCAGTATGATGAGATTCCAGAAAGAACAATTCATCATGTATTGAAAATAAGTTATGATTGCTTACAAGATGGTGCTAAGCATATTTTCTTAGATATTGCTTGTTTCTTTAGAGAGGAGGAATTTGAATTTGTTGAGGCAATACTAAAAGCTTGTGATTCTGGGGCAAGGTTTTATATCGAGGTTCTTGTTGACAAATCTCTAGTAACCATTGCTGATAATGGTTACTTGTACATGCATGATCTTATACAACAAATGGGTAGAGAGATTGTTAGGCAAGAAGCACCATCAGATCTTGGCAAGCGCAGTAGATTATGGTATTATGAAGATGTTCTCAAAGTACTACATGAAAATTTAGTAAGATTCTAATTCTTATATGTTTCATTTTACATGTACTGTTCACGATACATTAATTGTCCAATTTGGCCATATCAAACATTGTTACATCGTTGGTCTTAAATTACAGGGAGGCAACAATATTGAAGGAATAATACTAGATCCACCTCAGGAAGAAGAAGTGAAGTGCAGTGATTTAGCCTTTGAGAAGATGAATAATCTTAGAATTATCATTATTCGCAATACCCGATTCTTAACATGTCCTAAATATCTTCCAAATAGTTTAATATTACTTGATTGGCAGGGGTATCCTTCTGTGAATTTGCCTCCAGATTTTTCTCCTCCGAAGCTGGTTTGCCTCAAGATATGCGGAAGTCCTTTCAGCTTAGAGCATTCATTCGAGGTACACTTTCTTTCTCTCTTTATTCTTCGGTCAAATTTCTTCAACCATAACTTCATTCTAATGATAAAGAATAAATTACTTGAACAGCCGTTCTATTTCTTCGGACTATTTATTAACCTTTAAAATATTTCTTAAATACGCACAAATCTCCAAAAAAAAATTTTAAATAATCAATCTTCAAATAATGGGGGAAAATCCCACAAAAGGAACATAGAAATTACTAAATCCCAAATCATGATTGTTTCCTACAATTTAACAAAATTTTAACTACACTTGACTGTCAAATAACAATATATTTTTTTATAAAAATATTTGATTTAGTAATTTTAAGGTTTCTTTCATGAAATTCTTAAATATAATACAGCTTTAGTTTTGTTTTTTATTTCATCTGAATGAAGCAATAGACACGCATTGCTTAGCACAATAATAACTCAAATGAAGAAAAATATTTAGAAATTTTAAAACTTGTGATTGAAAAAATATTTAGGACCGGATGAGTATTTTATATCATTCCATTCTATTTCATTCCAATCCTTTATTTGAACCAGACGGCCTGAATATCTGTTATTAACTACAGTTAATTTAAGTAATCTCATTTTTGCTTTGCAGAATTTTGAATACTTGACATATTTGGATTTCTCAAAGTGTGAATTCATAACTGAAGTACCTGACATGTCTCAATTTCAAAACTTAAAAACATTAAGCTTCCGTGAATGTCACAATCTGGTCAAAGTTCATGATTCTGTGGGATCTCTCTGTAAGCTTGTCGAATTAAACGTTAGTAAGTGCATCAAACTTGCAAGCTTTCCACAGGAAATCAAGATGCCATCTCTTCAAGTTCTTAATTTCAATAATTGCAAGAGTCTTGACTACTTCCCACACATCGTTGGAAACATGGATCCATTAATGTATGTTTATGCAGAAGGCAGCGCTATTAATAAGCTCCCATCTTCTATTGGAAATCTTCCAAAGCTTGATATTTTAAGTTTAAGATCTTGCGAAAATCTTAGGGAGCTTCCGAACAGCTTATTGACATTGCATAATCTTGGAGTGCTTCTATTAGGAGGTCTAAAACCTCATGGGAGAAAATCTCTGAAGAAATTAATGCAAGAGAGCCAACCACCAACTATTAGCTGCACAAACATAGACCGCTTGGATCTCCATAACTGTGGTCTATTAGATGAAGATCTTCACCTAACTCTGAAATGTTTTCAGAATATGAGAGACTTGAATCTATCAGGAAATGATTTTGTGTCCCTTCCTGAGTGCATTAAGGACTGTGTTCATTTGTGGAAACTAGAAGTGAGTGACTGCAAGAGACTTAGAGATGTACCTGAGCTGCCATCAAGTTTAGGGGACATAACGGCAGAGAATTGCACATCATTAACCACAGAGTCTTCAGGCCATTTATGGTCTCAGGTTTTTCTCATTCTTTTTCTATTTTCTTATTTTCAATATGAGTTAATATTATTTTTGTTGATCCTTACAGTTTGATCAAAATTTTAATTTTGATCCATGTAGTTTTAAATGATTGGTTTGGTCCCTATCGTTTTATAAGGACTTAGTTTTAGTATAGGGACCAAAATAAAAACTTAATAAAAGTATAGGAATCATTCATTAAAGGGCTAAGGTGCATATATATTTGTCTTGGAAATTTTCACTTAGGAGCGCCCTGGCATTTTTTTAGTGCAAGTTTATCTCAAAAATTTAAAATTGTAGCAATTTTGTCTCCTACCATTAAAAATATTAATAGTCAATGTCACTATTTTAATAGTCAATGTTAGTTTTTAAATGATAGGGGACAAAATTACTACAACTTTAAACTTCTAAGACAAATTTACTTTTAAAAAGACTTTTGTGCTCCCCGCACTTCATAGTGAAAACTTTGGGAGCAAATTTGTATCTTAACCCTTCTTTAAACTCAAGGCCAAGTAATTATGAAACTATAGGAACCAAAACCAACAATTTGAAATTACAAAGATTCAAATTAAAATTCAATCAAACTATCAGGATTAATAACAGTATTAAGCTTTTGAAGATTATTTTGAATCCTGAAGATGCCTTTGGTCACAATTGTTTGGATAAATTAGGCCATAAAGTGCAATCGCATGGCTATCTGGATGCCAGCAACAACATATCCAGGTTGGTTTGACCATTGCTGTAAAGGAGACACATTGTCTTTTTATGTTCGTGGCAAAAATTTTCCTCGTGTTGTAGTTGCATTTGAGACGGGGAAGGCGAATAGAAGTGAGAGATACAGCTTTTATGTTTTTATGAGCATAAATGGTAGTCAAAAAATGCCATGGATGCAAAGTGATTTTCCTATTGAAGTAGAAGGAGGCCGTGTTTTGGTTTCTTATGGTAAACAAGGCCATATGCTTTTCTCTGATCTACTGGGTGAATTTTCAGAAGAAGAGTTGGAAGGACTTAATAAGTCTCTTCAATTGGATTGGAATGATGTGGAAATACAAGTTACATCTCGCACAGATGATATAGCCATAGTTAACTGTGGAGTTTATGTTGACAAGAAGCAAACAAACATGGGGAATGTACAGTTCAAGTCTCCCTTTCCTTCAAGAGCTTCACGGAAACGAAAGGCCATGGCCTCTCATCCTAACGAACCACCCAAGAAGCGCTTGAGAAAGTTCAATAACGCAGTGAAGGATAAGGTGAGAAGGTACTTTCTACTGATAATCGTTTATCATAAACTTTTAATTTTATTATTCTGAATTTTGTTTCCTATTCATGTATTGCAGGAGAGCTAAGCCACGCCAAAATTTTTATTCGTGGAACAAGATGTTTCCCCCCCAGTGGGTAAGCATATGTGGAGATTTTTGTATGGTTAGGTACTACCTCCTCCGGTTTTTAATATAAGATCTAGTTGACTAATTTGATGATATTCAAGAAGTTGAATAAATTAAACATTTGTATTTATCATTCTTCTCTAAACTAATTTGCCTGACATATAAACTGATAATATATAATCTAATAATGAACATAAGTCTTTCAAAAAGATTATATAACATATGCTATAATTAAGTCATTATTTAATTTTTTAATCTTCCTAAATTAGTTAAATTTGCTTTATATTTAGGAGTGGAGCTAATATCAAATATTATATTTGCTCACCAACTATTTGTCAATGATCTGATGTGACGTATGATCATTTTTTTGTATGCATTATCATAGTAATTTTGTTTTTTGGCCAGCATAATGAATTGGTTTTCCGTGGCATTTATTATAAATTCTTGGTGAGCATTGTCGACCCAAAAAAATAGATTCTTGGTAGAAGTGTTAAAGGAGAAAACTTAGTTTCTTCAATCATACATAGCCATGTGTCTCTTGTTGCTTCATATGTATTGGTAATTAAATACTATTAAATGCTAATATTAAAAAAAAAAAGACACATGATCATGTGCGATTAGAAAATTTAACATAATAAATTTAAGTAAGTATTTTTAATTATTAAAATACCCTTTTAGTTTTAAATGCATAAGCTGGGTAAGTAATTAATTTTGGCACTACATATTGACCTTAATTCATTTTTCCCTCATATTCATTATTTTTTCTAAAACTAATTTTTCTAACTTATAAACTCATATATAATATAATATTATATAAGAAGCAATTTAGTGAGATCACTTCGGCCAAAAAGAGTTTACTGAGATCACACCACATTGGTTAAAACTAAGTAATTTATTTATTTTTTTTAGTTTATTTAAATTAGTTAATTAACTCTTATATTAAGAATCAAAAGATTAATTCATTGTTAGTACTTAGTATCATTTCATGGGGATTCAAATGCCCCTTACCTCCTAAAAATGTTCATTAATTTCATTTATAGTATTACATCTCATAGCTCCCAAACAGATATTATTTTTAATATACAATTATTCTAATTAAGTTAACGTATTGTAATCTACAATTGTTTCATATCGTACAATTATATGAATTAATTATTTTATTTATTTATATATTGTATCTTTTGGGTTAACTTTTTTATGTGAAACGAACAAGAGAGAGGGGAAGGAATGAGATCATAGGGAAGGGAGAGCAGAAGAGAGAAATAGAGAAGAAAAATAACCGTCTATAAATTCAATATCCAAGTCTAGTTGTGTAGAACAAAACCTAAATCTACTTTTACTAAAATAATAATAAAAATAATAATAATTAATCCTAATAATAAAAATATTAAAATACTAATAAATCTAAATAAATCTTAAAATGATAATAAATTTAAATAATTCATATATCCTAGAAATATAATAAAACCATAATCATTCATTATCCCATATTTCATCATTTCTCCCTTACTTGAAGGACTTCACTCCTGACGAGTTAAAATCACTGCGCAAATCTTCGTATGAGTGAACAAGTAGATCAAAGAGGGCGTCATAGAAAACCCGTCCAACAAATAAGACACTATTGGAGTGACTCGATTAGTGGGGACATAGTTTGCCAGCGAAGTGTGTAATTTCCGTCATTTTATCCCCTTTAAGTATGCGTTGGGAAGCTCTATGGTTCAAGTGAATTATTAATTAAGCTTGTATATTAAAATCTTACATTTTTACTCTCAGGGTTACTATTTATTTGGTAACTTTAAATTTTTAGTCTAACTTTGAAAATTATAATTAATTGTAAAAAATTTGTATTGATTTGATTCAAATCTTCATCAAAAGCTCTTTCTATTCTCTATAAGAGAAAAATATCATTGATTCATTTACATGATCATCAATTCTAGAAAAATACATGAAATAGTATTGTTTATATGACAAAATCTGAAAATTCCATATTTGATACCTTAATTTAAAAAATTCATAAATTTTAATACACATCCAAAGTAGATGATCTGCCATGGCTTTTAAAGCTTAGGTTCTGTACTATAAACATACCGTATGTCAAGGGTTAACTCAATCAATCACTCCTTGAAAAGCTTAGGTTCTGTACTATAAACATAACCCCTCTAAAATGGCCTTATTTTCTGCCACTTAAGAGGACATGTGTCTCTCTTCATAACCCTTAATTTTCGGGTCATGCCAAGTGTCTCTTTTACTCTTGATTTTTCTTGGTATTTTGGGCTTAATTGGGCTTGAACTCTCTTGACATAAAGGACCATGGACTGCACGAATTTTATGAGCTTCCTTGGCCTAAAATGAGTCTAAAACTAGGTGGAAAGAAAAGAGAAGTGTTGCCCAATCACAAATTATCAATTTCTAACCAAAACTCACTATATAAGTTACCATTTTCAAAAATAGTTCTAGGTCTCCAAAAATTTATTTCTCTCTATCAAAAATTCTCTTTTAATATAGGAAGGTCCCCTGAATTTTTTCAGAACTTATCTCAATCTCTAACTATTTATTTTGAATTTTCTCTGAAATCGAGTGTTACCAATAAGATTTCGGTGATAAATATTCTAAAATTAATCCTTTTACTTTTCAGGGCCTAGAAATAATTTTATAAACTTAAATAAATCCTCACATAAATTTCTCATATTTTTTCTAAAATTATTAAGACCTCTACATATTTAAAATAATTATTGCCAGCTAATTTTTCACTATTTTTCTAGAAAAACCTCTGTTTACAGAAAATTCTGTAATAATTTATTTTTATACCATTTCCACCTCCTGGGCCTCAAGTAGGGTTTCAAACCCTCTAATTTATCTTTTTACTATTTTTCAAGAATTTTCTGGAATTTTTCTCTAATTTTTTTATTTTGCCATTCTTGGATCGATAATTTCAAAAATATTAGTTCATACAAGAGTTAGATTTCAACTCAAAAATTGTTTCATCTCTGACTCTACTTTACTACTTGACCCTCTGTCTACTTTATTATTCATATTCCTAGGATTAAAATTGGCGGGATGTGACAATGGAAGACTTACTCAGTGGTAATTTTTGGCATATTATAAATAAGAGATCTGGTCACACCTAAGAGCAAAGGAGGGAGAGTGTTTTTTGGCCAACTAAGGAGAAGGAACAAGAGAGGAAGATCAAGCTAATCCTAGGTCAAATCAAGTGCCAAATCAAGGTAAAAGCTTAGATTTCCCTTCTAGTTTAAGATACCTTGTAGTTTAATGGCTTTAAATATGGCTTTGATGGAGTTTGAAGTATGAAAATGTTAGCGTTTGATGTTGTCTAATTTGATTTATGTTGAGCTATGGATGATCAAAATTTGTTTATAGATTAAAAGGTGGAGAATACTTGGATTATGGTGTTTAGACCTTATTTTGTAAGAATTCTAACTTGCGGAACTAAGAGCTTCAATTTGGCCAACTTGGATGCAATGAGCTAGGGTTTGATTTTTGTTGATTTGATACTTCCAATGAGTTTAGGAGGTGAAATTGTGTAGGCATATGTGAAGAACATGTATTTGGAAGGATTGGATTTTGATAAATCTCGGTTCATTTTTGGATTCTACATGAAAATTCATGTAGGAAAAGATGGAAGTTAAATTAAAAAGGATGATGCTAAAATCCTAAAATAAAGGATAAAGGGTTAGGGTTTTAGGTTAAAGTGTTAATGAAATTGTTAAAGTTGATTAGAATGCCATTCTTGTTGTTTGATTGATAGGCATTGGCACAAGGCAAAGAAGGGCTCAAGAACAAGAGAAGGAAATCGAGGAATCAAAGCTATTAAGAGGTAGCGAGAACTTTCAATTTTAGTGTTAACTTGTCTTGGTTGTTTGTGTTAAATGTATGTGCCATGGTATGGTTCAGTTATGAATGTGGAAATATGATTAGCTCCTTATATTGATGCCTTGGTAAATGTGTTTAAGTTGTTGAATGATATGTTATGTGCTCCTTTTCCATGGCATATTAATGACATGGTTATGGCACAATAATACATGAGTTTAATGTTAGCATATAACATGATTGGCCTTGCATTTTGATGTTATAATTGATGTTCTTTGCTCCTAAGATTTTTTGAAATCTCACTCTATTATGTTTAAATCCTAACCATTTAGGGGATCAGAGCTCCAAAGGAAAAGGCAAAGAGTTGACTTTAGCTTGAAGCCTTTAGTTATGTCTTGACATTTTGGGATTTTGTTATGTACTATGTGTAATTATGAATGACTCTTTAGTTATTGTATGCTGTACACTATAGTTAAAGTATGGTTTTAAGTTGATTACTATGATAGCTAATAGTTTTGAGATGGCAAAATGTTATGGTGTAAGATTATGGTTTAAAAATGATAAAATCTAACCTAATTGCATCTAATTTTAAGACCATGTGTTTTTGGAAAAATGGAAGTTTAATCATGAAACTTGGCAGTCTAATAGATCTTATTTTTAATTTTAAAATGAGTGGTAATTCATTATAATTGAAGTTTTGTACAAAAAGTTATTCCCATCCAAAATTAGGCATAAATTCTGAAAAATTAAAAAATTGACCAAATAAATGAGATGGATTTATAACCTAGAAGTATTTTTCCCTTAAAGATCTCTCTGAAAGCTTTAAGCAGAACTTAGAACCATTTCATTTTAATTTTTCTAAAATTAGTTGTGATTTTTTAAAATTGGCTAAATTTTTAGGGTTATGTGAATAATAACCCAAGAAGATTGGTTTTGAAATTTCAAATTTACCAACTTAAGGATTTAATGGATGGTTCCATTTGCTTCTATTTGATATGAAGAAGGGTTTGAAATTAAGGTGTTACATTAGCACCACCTAAGAAGGTATATATATATTGAAACCTTCAGCTAATTTAAAATAATATATAAATTATATTTTAATTACTAACTATATGTTTGTCAGTCTAAACAAAAGAAGAGCTTATTAGAAGATTAGTCATTTTCATGTTCACAAAAGA